CTTGTGAATGGGCTAGCAGTAGGAAAAAAATTTAAGGCAGATTGAACTCTTTGATTACATGGGAAGATCTTTGATGTATTTAGAGCTTGGTTTGTATCACCTTTTGTATGATAGCAAATACTACATAATTTCTTTAGGCAAGTTCAGGGAAACATGTTAGTTACATAGTATGAGGATGAGTTCACTATTTTGGCTAGATATGCTCCATAATTACTTAGAACTCCTACAAAGAAGTTGTATAAGTTCTTGAGAGTACTTTATGATTGTTTGAGACAACCTCTAGTTCCATTTCACATTTATAATTTCTCTGAACTTGTGGAGAGAGCTCCTTTGATAGAGAATGACCTGATGGATACTTAGAAATAGTGGACTGCTAGTAGGAAGAGGTTTAATGATGAGATTTATGTTAGTGACTTTTCTGAGAAGAGGAACAAATTTACACCTTGAGATTTTATAAGAGGTAGACAGTCGGCATCTATAGTAGTCTCTAACAGTGGAAATATATCAAGTTCTAGTTCTATTAATGGAGCAATGGAAATATATTGAGTTGTGGTTGACACAATTCTAGTCAGTTAATGGGTAATAGTGTGTTCGAGGGTAGGACTTGACCAACGTTTTAAGTTTAGATCTAAGAGCTTCATGAGATGCCAGGGAGATCGAGGAAATTTCTCTCTGTACTTTTTTGGAGGGACCATCTAGTAGAGCTGGTGGTTCGAGTTTAGTCGAAAGGAGTCCATCTGGTAGTGGTTAGAGAGAGCCTGGTTATTTTATTTCTCGAACTTCAGTTCAGCCACATGAATATAGTTTAACTCCCCAGGAGGTTCGCAATGCTCTAGATATTATGACAGGTACAATTTATATTTATGAGCATTGATGTCATATTTTATTAAATTTTGGAGCTAGTTGTTCCTTTATTTCCAAGCATTTCTTTAATTTACTCACATGGCTTTAGTTAAAATGCCTCTTTCCCTTTCTATTATTTTATCAACTTTAGAAGTAAGATAGCCAGTAGATTTTATCTCTATGATATTGAAATTTCTTAAAAGAAGTGGAAAGCCAATTTTATTTTATTACCTATTTCCTCATGTGATGTTATTTTGTGTATAAATTGGTTGAGTGAGTATATGGCTCAGATTGATTGCTTGAAGAAGTTAGTTATATTATTTTTTGGATAGTGAGAGTTATGTATTCCAAGGAATTAGAGGTATTTTATTCTATTTAATCTTTATGGTAGAAGAAGATACATTATTATATAAAAATTGATGGTATTTCTATCATCAGTCTGGGATAGGAGTATAGATGCTGGTTCTCTTTTTGATATCTTAGTAATACAAGATGTTTTTAGATATATTTCCTGATGAGTTAGTCAAGTTAACTCAAGATATTGACTTAGAGTTTTATATTAACATATTTTTAGGTACGACCTTGATATCTAAAGCTCTATATAGGATGGATCCTAAGGAGATTTTGGAGTTGAAGGTTTAGCTTAAGGAGTTGGTTGACAATGGATTTGTTCATCCTAGTAAGTCTCCCTGGGGAGCACCAATTTTATTTGTGAATAAAAAAGATTGTACAATTCATATGTGTATTGATTATATAGAGTAGAATAAAGTTACTATCAAGAATAAGTATCTACTACAACAAAATGATTATTTATTGGATCAACTTGCTAGATCTTGTATATTATCAAAGATTGATCTATGATCTAGTTACTATCAAGTGAAGGTGAGAGAGGCTGATATGGTGAAGATAGCTTTTGATACTCGGTACGATACTATGAGTCTTTGGTTATGCCATTTAGGGTGATTAATGAACCAATTGTCTTTATGGATCTAATGAACATAGTATTTAGATATTATCTGGATCAATTTTTGATTATTTTCATAGATGATATTTTGAATATTCTGCTTCTAAGGAAGATCATGTCAGACATTTGAGGATTATATTAGAAACCTTGAGGCAACATCATTTTTATGCCAAATTTAACAAATATGGGTTCTAGGTAAGGAATATTTCATTTTTAGGACATATGGTAAGTGGTGATGGTATCTCTGTTGATCCCTAGAAAGTTTAGGCAATCACTGATTAGCTGAGGCCTATTATTGTGTTTGAGATACACAATTTCTTAGGTATGGCAGGATATTATAGGAAATTTATGTAGGGGTTTTTTCAGATTTATACACCTCCGACGATACTAACTTAGAAGTCAGTAGCTTTTGTTTAGACACGAGCGTGATAGGCTAGTTTTCAATGACTGAAGGATTATTTAACTTTTTCTCCAGTTTTGGTTCTTCCATCTGGTACGAAAGGATTTTAGGTATTTAGTGACACTTCATTAAGATTTGGAGTGTATTTTGTTGCAGTATGGTACTATTATAGCTTATGCTTCTAAAGAGTTAAAGTCACATAAAAGGAACTATCAAACGCATGACTTAGAGTTAACTAGTATTGTATTTACTTTGAAGATTTGATGTCTTTACTTGAACAGTGTCAAGTGTGAGATTTTCACTAATCATCAAAGTCTAAAGTACATATTACTTCATAAGGATCTAAATTTAAGGCAAAGGATATGGCTTGATTTAATCAAGGACTATGATTTGACTTTTTAATATAAATCTAGTAAGACTAATGTGGTGGTAGACAATCTGAGAAGAAAATTTTTTGGATTATCATATATGTAGCTCACTTTAGATAAGTATTTAATCTAAGATATAAAGAGATTATAGTTGGAGGCAATTTCTTCGACTGATTGGAATTTTGGTATAGTGACTCAGATGATCATTCAGCTTTCTCTAGGGAAAAAAGATTCGTGAAGCTAAAAAGTTTGATGTAGAATATCCAAAGTTGATTGATCAGATCAAATCTTATAAGAAATTTGAGCTACGAGTTTCTTATTTTGGTGTTATTTTCTGTAAGGATAGACTTTGGGTTTTTATTTTTGAAAATCTAAGGCAGGGATTCTACATGAGGCTCATTATTTAGGCTATACTATCTATCTAAGAAGTAGTAATATGTATAAAGATTTAAAGGGTATATTTTGGTGTTCAGGATTCAAGAAGGACATAACAAAGTTTGTATTAAATTGTGAGGCCTATTAGGTAGTGAAGGTAGAGCATCAATGACCAGGAGATCTTTAGTAGTCGTTACCTATTCTTGAGTGAAAATGGGAAGAGGTAACGATGTATTTTGTTTGGGTTTTCCCATATCGAGGTAGGGGCATGAAGTTATTTGGGTTATTACATATTGTCTTATAAAATTTGCCTATTTTTTTCTTATTTGACAGATAAATCTGATGAACAGGTTAACACATGTTCATTTTAAAGATATAATCAGGTTGCATGGTGTGCCAAAGGTGATTATATTTGATTTGGATAGATCAGGTTTACATCCAGATTATTAAAAGGTATTGAGCATGGACTGGGTATGAAGTTGCACTTCAGTATGGCTTTTCATCCATAGACAGACAGAGAGTTCAAAAGGATTATTTAAGTACTAGAAGTTCTTTTGAGATTATGTGTTTTAGATTTTGGGGATTTATTGGAAGGATCATATCCCATTGATTTTTTTTTTGAAAAATGATAATAAGCATAGATTAAAGCAAAGAAGAAAAGGAAGACACCTAGATACAAGTTATTGAGTAGAACCAACCATAACACATTCTTTCTTCAACATATGAATGAAAGAATTAGGTCGATCCTTCTCAGAAAAGTATACCCAAAGAAACTCATAAGACAAGGCTAAGTTAGCACAAAAGTGAGCTAACTTATTACAATTTCGTCTTACATGATGAAGGGAGACATTATTAAAACCCCTCCCAATAAAGAAATCATCATCATCATCATCATAATTATCATCCAATTTCTTTTCTTTGCTATACAATTGAAGAAATTGGATGATATTATAAGTATCACTTTCAACTATAATACCAATGGTATCAAGTAGTTTACCTTTGAGTACCTTATTTAAAGAATTGATAGCCAATAACTCCACTTGTGCAATATTCCAATGAACTCCATAGAAATCAAAAGCCATGATAAGTCTTCCTTTGAAGTCTCGAACAACGCCTCCAATTCCTGCTTCATAGTTCTCCTTGAGGGAAGCATCAATGTTAATCTTATACCAACTGGGTGGAGGGGGATGCCAAGAATAAAAAAGCAGTCCCAAGGACTGATGTACATCCCAGATAGAATAAGATTAAACTTCTTACTATTTACAAAACTCAAAATAGAAGAAGATGTCAATGTATCACAATTCTCCAATTTTCCATGTTTGATCTTATTTCTGTTGTTCCAAGAAAACCAAAGCAAAGTGCAGTAGATCCTAGCCATCACCAGATTTGAACCAGAAAGAATTTCCAATTTGCTCCAACAATCCTGAAAAGAGTTGTATTTAGGAATCATAAATCCCCAATTTCTTAACACATCAATAACCCTCAATAATTTGAGACGAGAAGTGGTAATGTGATCAAAATCTTCAGCAATTCCACAACCTCTAGGAAAATAATTCCCATTTGCAAGCCTTCTTCTCATGAGGTAATCCGCTGTTGGTAATGCATATTTACCAATCCTCCACATAAACATTCCAACACAGGAGTTCAACTGTAATTTATGGATCCAATTAACTAGAACAGAACATGAATTAGTGGAAAGTTCTTTGTACAACAATTCATCCTTAATCAGTGCAAAAATTGATTTTCCAGAGTATCTCTGTTTCAGCTGCAAGAAATCACCATCATCCTTGTTAGAAATTTGAATATTGCTGATTAGAGCAAGGAGTTCTCCTCCAAAGAATAAAGACAATCTATCTAGATCCCAACTTCCATCAAGAATGAAGAAGTCTAGATAAGTGTTTTCATCATCAAAATTGGCAACAAAGGTCAGCCACCTGATCAGGCTCTTATCTAATATCCACACATCCTTTAAAACATTGATTTTGCTTCCCGTCACCACTCTCCATCTAACTGCCATTTTAAGAGCATCCCGCCCAGATTTTATTATCTTCTAAGAAGGAGAACCACCCTTCTTATTGTCATCATTCCACCAGTCTTCTCCATATTTGCATAATAAATTCTTATTCAACAAAGAATTCGGAGACTTTACCAACTTCCAAGCAAACTTGGCTCTTAAGGATTCCACGCTAGAGAGTGCAGACTTTATCCCCCAACCACCCAAAGCTTTTGGCTTACAAATTTCATTCCAAGCAACATAATGTAGTCCATGACTTCCATCTGCCTTATTCCATATGTAATTTCTGCATAATCTCTCAAATTCCTTCAAAACTCCTAAAGGAATGAGAGAGTGTGAACTAATAAAAATAGGGAAGTTAACATAAACCGAATTCACCAACACCATCCTGCCTGCCAAAGAGATGAATTTATTACTCCATGAGTTCAACTTCTTCATAGACTTGTCGAAGAGAGATTGGTAATCAGTCTTTTTCAATCTTCTTAATGCAACTTTAGTTCCCAAGTACTCCATTTCATCAACCGGCTTGAACCCATGAAATATGTAATTACCTTCCTCTCCCTTCTATCAACTCTTTTACCATAAATCATGGCAGATTTATGGTAGTTGATTCTTTGTCCAGTCCAACTACAGTAATCATCAATAATATCCTTCAATCTTTTAAAACTTTTCCTCTTTGCATCAGCAAATAAAAGTACATCATCCGCATAGAGCAAATGGGATATCCTTTGTCCTTTGGATGTAATTTTGATGCCCAAATCCTTTCCCCTGCTGAGAAAGACATTAGAAAGTAGTTGTGAACAAATAATAAATAGAAAAGGTGAGAGTGGGCATCCTTGATGAAAACCACTCTTTCCCTTTATCCATTTAGTGCATCCACCATTGATGAGAATAGAGTAGCTTGGTTCCAAGATGCATTCCATCACCAGCTTTATGAACATCTACGGAAAACCCAAAAGAAGTAACATTTTTTTGAGAGTAGTCCAGCACATACTATTGTATGCTTGCTCCATATTAACCTTGATAGCCACCAAACCATTGATATTTTTATAAAACCTCATTTTGTTGAAGACCTCCTGTGCTAAAAGCAAGTGATCTGAAATTGATCTTCCTTTAATAAAGGACACTTGTTTATCTGAAATGATTTTTGGGATTACAATCAATAATCTATTTAGTAAGATCTTTGTCACAATCTTATAAATATAATTACACAAGCTTATAGGCTGAAATCCAGTTGGAGTAACTGGGTTGTTGCTCTTGGGAATAAGGACTACAATATTGTTCTTCCAATCTTTATCCATTCTACCAGTTAAGAAAAAACTTCTCACAACCATACAAACATCCATACCTACAATGCTCCAGTAATGTTTAAAGAAGGAGTACGTGATTCCATCAAATCTCGGTGCCGTGTTGTTTCCAGAATTCCTTACTACTTCCCAGATTTCTGAATCCCGTAAATCAGCTTCCAAACAGGTTCTATCTTCATCATTTAAAACCTTCCAATGAGGTGACCAATCTGTCAATACACTATCTCTGTCATCCCATTTCTTCTGAAAATAGTTATAAAACAGCTCTTCTATCTCTTTGGGGTCTTCGGTAAGAGAACCATTATTGTTTTTTAATTGAGGAACCAAATTACCATTCTTCCTAGCATTATCAAATGCATGAAATAACTTTGTATTTGCATCACCCTCTTCAATCCACTTCACTTTAGCTCTTTGCTTCCACCAAGTATTCAAATGACCAAGAGTCACATTCAGCTCCTTGACCTTACACCTGAGCAGCCATAGTTTCTCTTCACTCAATTACTCAATATTAGCTTCTTCTTCTTGAAGGATCAGAATTCTAGCCTTTAGCCTTTCTTTGTTTTTGGAAAATTCTTTGAGCTTATTCATACTCCAGTAAAGTAAATCCCTTAATGATTTCTTGCACTTTTTGTTAAGGATTTGCATTTCATCTCCAATACAATTCTTCTTCCATACTATGGCAATAATACGAGCTGAAGCTTTGAAAGAAATCCAAACATCTTCAAATTTTAGAATTTCCCTCTTCTTTGCAAAAGTGTCAAAGATTTTTAACACAATGGGACTATGGTCCGATGCAATTCTGGGTAAATGTCTTACCACTGCCACTTGTAAACAATTCAATGCCAAAGTATTCAACAAGCACTCTATCATATCCCATTGATAGAGTTTGCATATAATAATAGTTATCAATCTAACAAAGGTATAGCTCCTTAAAAAGCTTTATACTAGATAAAATGTTGGACTTTTTTAACTTTTACAAAGATGGGAGATAGAGAGGTGATAGGTTCAAACTTTATAGATGTTACGGTTACGAATCTGATTTTGGGAAATATAATTTTAATGATAGCAAATATTTCTGTTACTTTTGTTTCTCTATGACTGCCTTGCCTACTAATATTTTAAGTCCACAAGATCAAACTGCAAAATGAACAAGCTATAGATTGGGTAGATTAGCACTGAGTCAGTTTATAATATACGATAAGTTTCTTTACATTTTCTTAAGTCCATTGTAATATTATGGGTCATAATGCTAAGTAACGTTGCCCACACACATAGGGAAAATTTCTATCTGTTTGATTAGTGTTTACTATTTTGATCACATCATTTGAGATTATCAGTTAAAAATAAAAACCCTAATTAGGACATCTTTATTAAGGTAGCCGCAATTAAGCGCATCATCCTGGATAATATTAACATCGACCGAGACTATAGGCTCAAATTAGAAAGAATCCACCACTAGATCTATTTACGCATCTTTAATTTTTGGACATCATCCTGGACGATGTAGTGCAATTATGCCTAAATTAATCTAGTAATTAAGGAAAGCAATTAAGGTTTGATTGCTTATCATATCGGCCTGGATGATTGTAGGATCGTACGGGACGATCAGTTCACGAACCTTAGTTCTTTCTTGATGATCAATAATCAGCCTGGCTCCATTTAGGGCAATGCTCTAAATGATATAAACTAAATTGAACTAATCATTCGGGGTGATCTTTAGATCTGCTGGATGATCAAGTTATTTTTTTATTTTTTAGATATCCATTCAGGGCGATGTTCTGGATGATATTTTTCATTTTATACTAATCGGCTAGGACAATCGTGAGATCTTCATAAACATTCTAGTTATTTTTCATCATCCAGACATCCATCCAGGGTGATGGTCTGGATGATATTCATCAAGTTGAACTAATCGTACAGGATGATATATTATCGTCCTGGATGATATTTGACGATTAGTTGCTAATTAGGGAAAATTTGAAGCTGTTATTTAAAAAATCTCTTATTTTCTCAAGTAAAGATCTTTTGCTGCTGTCCTAACCTAAGTGAGAGAAGAGGAGAGGGAGAGCAAGGGAGAGAGAGAGGATCTAATGAGGGGGAGTTTATGAGGGATTTCACAATAGTTACTCAAAGCAAGGATCTGAGTCATCTTCTCCGGTTATCATCCCTAAGTCCTTGGAGGTTTGAGAGAGGTCTTCTTCAGCAACGGATCGAGGTTCTCTACCTGCTTCTGGAGGAAGAAAAAGGAGTTCGGTTCTCTGACTGCTTCTAGAGGAAGTAAAAGGAGTTGGGTTCTTAGTCTACTTTTGGAGGAAGAAAAATGAGTTGGGTTCTCTGCCTCACCGAGGTAGGTGGAAATGAGTTTTGTGCGGGCTTCTCTTCCTTACTGTGGGAATAAAAGGAGAGACACTGAGTTTAGTGTAATACCGAGAAGAGAGGCTCCGGAGAGTGGACGTAGGTTAAGTTGATCGAACCACTATAAAATATGGTGTTTTCTTTCTTATTATACTTTTATATTAAATTTCCACTTTTTAATTTATGTGGTGATTGTTTTGTTATGTTAGTGATTTTATTTGGAGAAATTTTTAGATACCAATTCAACCCCCCCCCCTCTTAGTTAGCCTTGGGACTAGTTGATAAGGGTTTAACATCTCTGACAAACTTTCAAGTGGTATCAGAATGGGATTCATAAAATTGAGTTTTTGAAAACTTTTAAATTTCGTTCAATGGCTAACTTTGATAATCGTAATACTGCGGAAGGGTATTCTATTACCCGACTACCTTTGTTTGATAATGTTTCTTTTGATTTTTAGAAAACTCGCATGTCTATATTTGTATAATCGATTGACTATCGCATGTGGATGCTTGTTAAAGAAAGTTATTCACCTCTGTCTCATAAAACTAGTGGAATTAATATTGAACTTCCTTTCACTGAATAGACTTTTGAGGATAGGGATTTAGCTTAACTAAATGCAAAATACTTGAACTATTTTTTTGTGTTTTGAAATCAAAACATTATAATTCTGTTTCAACTTGTACCATGGGTAAAGAAAATTGTGATAGATTGTGTATTACTTATGAAGGAACCAAAGAAGTTAAACAATCTAGGTTGAATATTTTATTGCATGACTATGAACTTTTTCATATGAAACCTGCTGAATCTATTTTTGATATGTATAATAGGTTTACTCAAATTATCTCCTCATTGCATGCCTTAGGAAGAGAGCTAACTAACTATAAAAGTGTGAATAAAATTTTAAGATGCTTGCCTTCTTCATTTGATGCTAAGATAATTATAATTACTGAATCTAAGGATTTGAATACTTATTTTGTTGATAACTTTCTTCGATCACTCATTGCTTATGAGTAAGGTGTGAACCAAAGACAACTTAATATAGGTGAGTGAAAGAAGGAGAAAACTGTGGCACTGAAGGCCAACAACACGGTAATTGATTCTTTCAGGTCTGAAAGCGATGATGTTGCTTTAATCACTAGGATATTCAAAAGCTTTCTAAGGAAGAATCACAAGAACCATCAGAAATGGAACAAAGGTAAGGGTAGCAAAAATTATAAAAGTTCTTCTGATGTTGTTTATTTTGAATATAGGAAGCATGGAAATGTCAAAGATGATTGTCCTACACTTTTGGATCACCCAAGCAAGGAGAAGGGTGAGGAGAAACCCAAGTACATGAAGGACAATAAGCGGTTCCAAATGGCATTCTGGCCTAATTCTACATCTGACTCCTTTGATACTAAAGCTGAGAAGGAAACAATAAACTTGTGCTTGATAGGTGATCATCTTAATCAGTCTGACCAAAAAGAGGTATGCGAACAAAGTTATGAATAATTACTTGAGGTTTGTGAGAAAATTCATGCATCATATAGAAAACTTAAGAAATCACATGCTAGTTTAAAATAAGAATTTTTAAATCTATAAAAAGAACATGAAGTTTTACTTAAAGATCTCTCCAAAATTGATAGCAATCATATGTCAATACTTGATGAGTTTGATGAGTTAAATAAAAAGCATTATGAGTTGGTTGTAGAGCATGATTTAATGAATGCATTCTACACATAACTTGAAATTGATTTTAAAACTTATATTAATGATTTTGAGCATAGGGAGCACTATTTAAGTGTTGATAATGCTATTTTAGAAAGTGCTAACTCAAGGTTTAAAGCTGAATTGAATGCACTTGAGAAAAATAGGAATATACGCACACCTGAATAATTTTCAATCATAATCCAAAACCAAAATTTTTGAAACATAAGAAGAGGCACTATAACCTGAACAAATTATTAAATCCTTTTCCTGGAGTTAGATGTTTTTCATGTGGTATGATAGGGCATATTTCACACACATGCATTATTCACGATAGTATATATTGGTGCGGAGACCCAAATTGCATGATTCATAACATAACACACATGTATTGCATTCTTCTTTTCATAAGAAGGTGCACAAACTTGTTTAGGTTCCTAAATCTAACATTTGATGATGTTGTAGGTGTGCTCTCACTAAAGACCTCAAGAGAGCATGTGGTACATGGACTGTGGATGTTCATGACACATGACTGGAGATGCCGATCAATTCATTTTGCTGGAGGCAAGGGCTTTAGGCAAAGTCACTCTTAGAGACAACACCACCAGGAAAGTGGTGAGTGCATATATAATCAAAAACTCCAAGAACCTTTTAATTGAAAATGTTCTACTTATAGATAGACTGAAATACAACTTGCAAAGTATTAGTCAGCTGTGCGATAAGGGTTTCATCATAAATTTTTTGGCAAATACTTACATTGAATAAGAACACTATTTTGCAGAAAAATGGATTAACAACGTCTATATGCATGATTTAAATAATATTGAATGTGCTACTTTATTTTATTTAAAAATAGTTGCTGGTGAGTTTTAGTAGTGGCATAGGAGGTTATGTCATGCCAGTATGAAAACACTTAGGAGAGTGACCCAAAAAAACCTTGTTAGAGGAGTCCCCGAGCTTAAGTTTTCTAAAGACCACTTATGTGATGCCTGCCAACTAAGGAAGAAAGTTCATTCCTCTTTCTATTCCATTAAGGACTTTAGCACCTCTAGACCTTTAAAAGTCTTTCACATGGATTTTCTTGGACCCATTAGCACTGCCAACTTAGGGGGAAAAATCTATGGATTTATGATTATCGATGACTACTCGAGGTTCACTCGGACTAAATTTCTGTCGCATAAGAGTGAGTCTTTTGATGAATTTAGATCCTTCTTCACTTGGATTTAGAAAAATCAAGGTTTTGAAATCTTGATCATCTATAGTGACCTTGGGGGAGAGTTTGAAAATGAGATATTTGGAGACTTTTATGAGGATAAGGGGATTAGTCACAACTTCTCAGCTCCTAGGACCCCTTAGTAGAACGGGGTAGTTGAAAGGAAGAATAGGACCTTAGTTAAGGCCCCTAGAGCCATGCTTGCTAAGTATTC